CCTGCTGAAAAATGATAATGAGAAGTGTTTTGTATTTTTGCAAACTGAGATACATTGCTGAGTTTTGTTTGTACACAAAAGCAAAGGCAGAAGAGGCAAACTGGTTACAGCATAAGGACTGTTCTGATGCAGAGAATTGTTACTAACCAGGCGACGAATATCCCTTTCACTCTCCCATTTGATCTTAGAGATGGCTTCCTGGTGGGACTGATGCTCACTCCGGAGATCACCTGCCTTGATCTTATCAGCTTGGATCATATTGTTGAGGGCCTCATCTACCTGCTTCTTGGCAGATTTCAGTTCAGTAATTTCCTGCAAAAGCTTAAGGCGCTCGGAGTCAAACTGCTTTCTGGCCTCCTCGCGAGCCTCAATTGTCAGCGCTGTCCTTACTTTGTCACTGCTCCCATCCCGCAGTGCGCACAGTGCCGACTTGAGGCGCTGGATTTCACTGTCTCGGACTTTCACCATCCGCGTCATCTCCTGCTCATGCTGTTTGATGAGGTTCTCCCTCACGGCCTGTAGCTCCTTCATTTTCTCCTCGTGGAGCTTGGCTTTGAGCTCTGTAATCTGCACAGTCTGCTTGCGCTGCTCCACTTCTCGGATCCGCTTAGTTTCTTGAGTCTTCTCTCTTTCAAGTTTAGCAACCTATGTTGAGATCAGAAGCAAATCACCTGTCACAACGTTATCGTGTCGAACAAACCCTCCCCAAACACCAGCATATCAAATTAAGGAAGACCCTGCTGCAGACCCTGTATGCTCCCCCATCCTCATTACAAAAAAATATAGGCCTCATGCTGGAACATTAGCTTAATTTTACATTGTCTTTACTAAAAGGAAAACATCACTGTCTTCTCCCAGTGTACTGCCTCATGCAGTGATACCAAACATACTTTCAATATTTATTTAGCAAATAAGGCTCTGTGTATATGCATGCATTTGTCTTATTAACTTTGGAACCCACCAGCCAATTTTGGTAGAATTTAACAGAAAGTTAGAGGATTAGATAGAAGAATAGGTAGGTTTCTACAGCTTTCATGAACGTGGGCAGTAAATTAGAGGAGAAAGAGCGCGTGTCTCTAAATGATCCCAGTTGACATAAGGTGTAAGGCTGAAAGACTAGGACAACTTGGCTTTTACAGATATTCTTACCTGTAAGTAAAAGCCTTAACTGGCATTTGCAGTCAATTCTTAGACTTAACTCTACAGAAGAATACACTTCACTGGTTATTATATTGAAAACAACTGGTAAGGAAAGGCAAAGTTCAAAGTAAAGTTTCAGTTCAAAGCAAATTCAGTAGGTTTATTATTTACAATGAAAAAGAAAAGGAGATTTCAAAAGGATTCAAAGATAAACACCCTTGCCAATATCCTTTTAAAAGTCCACAAAGAATGCATAAAACTGGGCAAACCTTTCATATTTTAAAAGGAAAAGTAAGAGAAGGAAAAATAAAAGTAATAACAGGTCATTGGAGAGTCTTCTAAGAGACACTGGTAGTCTAGCCTGCAGGATTCATGGATTACTTGGATAGGAATTAGAAAGGGCATGGGTTCCTACCAGCTCCATGTACAGAGCTCATTGACTTGTTTCCCTCTCTCATGCTAACCCCAGGTAGCTTGGAACATATCTTCCCACAAAGAAACCTTCAAGGGGAGCTGGGGAAGAAGAGTTCGAAAGCATACATTTATTTCAGTTTCAATCACTGCGGTCATTCTGATTATTAACAGATTTTAAAAATGAGATGTATCTGTCTCAGAAGGCTTCATGGAAAAGAAATCTAGAAGACGGTTGTGAAACTTCCTCCTCAGGGATCTGGCATGTGTGAGAACTTTTCAAAGCATCAAAAAACCCATGCTTTTTAAAGGTAGTGTGGACTTCCACCGACTTCTCCCAAGGACATTAAAGGCTACTGATAAAGGCAGATTTCGACAATAACAAATGTCATATGCAACAAGAAGACTTTGCAGCCAGGGTCTAGTGAGCAGTCTATTTTAGTCATAGTTATATGATTTGTGCAAGATATTAACTTGTCTTTATTACACCAATCACTTCTGAAGAGAAAGCCATGCCCTAATCCTAGCCCTCACTACGTCCTTCAGTCAGGTTTTAGGGTTGCCTTTAACTCCTTTTTCATGCTAGGTCCAGCCATGACTCATGACTAAAATTAAGCCAAATGCCTCTCTCTCTCTCATTAACACATCTGTTATTAAAACACATCTGTTTATTAAAAAAGGAAGTTTGACACCCTGCAAAACAAGGTGCAATTACTGTAACTGCTCTGACTTAGTATAACACTTAGACACACATGTAAACTCTCAACCAAGTAGTCTGGATATCCACAACAGCACAACACTACAGCCAAGCACAGCCTGAGGACAAACCCAGCCAAGCTCTGGGACATCCGGCTTTTACGGCTGTTGGTTTCCAGGCTGCCTATTTTATCTAATTAAAATGCCATTAGTCATGTTAGACTATTTTGTAGATACTGTACCACTGTGATGGGGAGAAAAGGAAAGATAAACGAGGCCTTTATGGAAAAAAAAAAAGATAATCACTTTTGAAGAAATGGACAAGGAGTCTCCTTAATAAAAGACCATGAAGCTTCAAGAGGTTTCTACCATCTACTTTGAATTCACTGGAAGAGTGAGCTTACTGCTAACACAGAAGGAAAAGTCCAGAGACCCAATTTGTTAGATCCCTTTTGTGGAGCGAACAGAACACCTTAGAATATTGTGTGTGACTGGCTCATTTGGCATCCTATTTTTAAGCTGAATTTAGAGAAGATAAAAGTTGTACTAAAATGTCAAATATGAACCTGTTTATACCTGTTTTCCTGTTCATTGGAAAAGGGGAAAAATCTGAAAACTGGACCAAAGTAGAACTTTTAACGAGTGCTCCTTTGTATCCTAACTGCAGAAAAAAATGTGATCTGCCGCCTGGGGCTGTAGTTTTTAGCATCTCATTGTTCTGTAATGACAATTCCTTGAATACTGTGAGCACTCAATCCCATTTGGTCACAGGAATGGTAAGAGCATCCATGGACAGGACACCTGGCAGTTATTGAGACTCAAGGAATTTCATTATTTTGTTGATGCTCTGCTCATCTCATTCCCACATGTCTATATTTATATCAGACAACCTTTTCTTGTTTTCAAGACTTTCTTACTCTTGCGCTCCTGTTATTCTGAGCAATCCTCAAAGTGATGACTAGTAACAAAAATCTGCATTGGCAACTACCATATTGGAATTCTATAGATGCTATGATAACAAAAGTAGCAAGACTCAGAATATAAAGAAAAGCATCAGGGAAGCTCCCCGGATCATCAGTTTTCTGGCAGCCAGCCTACAACTCCTTAAGAGAATAGCTAAACCCTGCTTGTGTGCAAGACACACATGCCAAAGCTCGCAGGGAAAACAAAAGAATCAAAAGTCATTTTTCTTTCCAAGGCTGTCATCAGCCATCTGTAAAAGGACGCAGAATGAATTTGAAAGCATGATGGTGTCAATTTTCTTGCATTTGCAAATTCTGTCTAGTTTTAGAGGTTGCAAATTCATGGCTATAAATCTCATTGGTAAATGATGGGACAAAGCCCCCAGATATCATCAGAAAATCAGATAACACAGAACTGGCTATTCTTACTTTCACCTGACTTCTACAATTATAATAAATTGGTGGATGGTAGTCTGAGATTATCAATATGAGCAACCTTGAAATATTAGCATGAAAACCTTTCCCAAATAAACTATTTTTTAAAGACAACCTCCTGGAGGCGGAAAGATTTGTGGTTATTGATTGGGAAGCTAGAAGCAAGTCGATCTGGGTTTGCCAGCCCAGGATATATGCTTATTTTTGAAGGAATCAGAGCCAGATTGACATACGTCAATTATAATCCACTTGGAGAAAAATACTTTAATAGACATCACCCGGTAAAAATGTGCCTGCCACCTGGCAGCAGTTTGGGGCCTCTTGACTTCAGGGTGCATTGTCTCCAGCCCACTTGATAAGAATTCTCCAGGAAAGAATACTGCTTGCAGACAGGAGAGAATACCACTTAAGGATTTTAAAGGAAGGTTAGCAGGATATGTGCAGAGTAGGTGAAAAACAGACAGTATTTTATACTGGGTAACATAAGTCCTTTGCCTTTTTACTGGCTAAAAAGGCTGAAGCAGTATAGAGAGATCCTACATGCCTTACAAGGGCTCCCCTAGCATACAGAATGCAAGAAAAGAGTGTGAAGACTTCAGCAGAAGGTGCAGGGAAGAGCTCAAGCAACAGCCTACAGCCCCATGGTTGTGCCAAAGGCTTCTAAAATATGCACACGGCATCTCAAACCTATGCAGGCAGGTCTGCACTAGAGACAGAGGTGTGCATGCTACCAGCTGGTTCTAGACTGCCATTAGTTACCAGAGATGGTAGCTCTGGCAGACCATGAGTACCTGAGCAAGCTTTAAATAATGTATACATACCTTAATGTACAAAATACAGTTCGGTTGCAGATGGATTATAAGGGCCCATATGGACTGTCATGCTATACATTTAAGGATCACTTCACTCAACTTTGAAATAAAGGCATCTCTTGCTGAAATAAGCAGTCATTCAAAAAACAGCAACACTACACAATTTCTAGACACTGGAAATTAAAAAAAAATAGTATAGTTAGAGACAATTTGAGTGGATAGAATGAAACCCACTAACTGGAATATGGTCAAAGACGTTACAAAAGACTTATCGCTCCCTTTGAGGGCCAGATGCTTCTTGAGCTTGTACCTCTGGGAAAAGGGGACTTTTCCACTGAACCTCTGCAGTATCAAAGTGCTGAACGTGGGGAGAGAATCAGATCACTGCTCTAGAGAAGAGTTGTTGCATTTATTGATTTCTGCGATACAGCTTTTTCCATGTAATTTATTTTTCCCTTCAGTGCAGATACTGTTATTTAACACCAGATTCTCACTCACCTTAGACTTCTCCTGATGCAGCTCAATTTGAATGTCCGTCAGCTTGGTCCTGAGTTCCTCATTGGCAGCTTGTAGGGCAACAATCAGTGCCTCAGGCTTTTCGCCCTTGCTACGTCCTTTTTTTGACATGGTTTCTTATCAGCGAGAGTCCATGCATTTAATTCTTTCAAATAAGGACTGTCATCTTTATCCTCCCTTTTCAGTGCCAGTTAGTTCAGCACCTACAGCGTGACATCCTTAAGGCGCCATCCTCCGCTGCTTCGGAAGCCCTGTGAGAAATAAGACATGCTCTTACTGTCAGTGAACACGACGGCACCCGGCTCGCACGGATGCAGGATCGCTGTAAGGACCGATGCTGCTGAGACAGCAGCACGAGAGCGTAGGTCGCTCAATCCCGCATTGCGGTCAAAGCTAGCGTGAAGAGGACATTTCACTCTGGATAGGTCGATCTGGAAGCCAAGAGGTTTCCCATCACTGGGAAGAGCAGCCTCCCTCTGCCCCATCTACTGCCATTTGTCCCAGCTACTGGTGGCCTTGGATAAAGATATACTGTGGACCACAAAATAAACACGCTTTAATATGCTTTAATATGCTCCCTGGAAACTCCTGTGTCTATCTCTCAGCTCCTTGTTCAACCCAGGGCCCCTGGACATGCCAGCAGTGCCCACGGCTGGGAGATGCGGAGCCACAGCATCCCTGCCCACGAAGATCCGCACCCGCGAACTGGACCCAAAAACGACGCATGGGCTTTGGGGCAGTCCTCCGTAAAAATGTCCCTGCAGACTGAGCAAAGCAGATTTACGCCTCCCTGCTGTATAGAATTTGCTGTAGTTTAAACTTGTATATTTTCAGTTGAGTTCTGAAAAAAGTGCCCCACATTGCCCAGTGCCCCACAAGCTGCACTGCCGAGGCTGCTGCCGACGGCCCCGAGCCCACTGCAGCTCCCATGGCCCAGGGCTGCCTCCCACTCGCGCTCCAGGAACTCTGCAGACAGCGCCCTGCTTCACGCGGTGCAATGACCCACTCCCAGGTCAGCCCCACAGGCAGACACCACCTCAGCACATGGATGATTTTCATTCAGTTTGGATTCATACTTCGGATGTTGATGCCTGGAAGAAGGAACACTTGTGTTTGCACATATCGTTGCCCCACAATGAGATGTTCTAGTGCTGCTCAAATAGCCACCACATTGGAAGGCTCAGCAGAGTGGAAGAACAGCAAGGAAAATCCATGCTAAACAGCAACTAATGTACCAAGGCTGATGCCGCTTACAGCCCTTACATTCTGAGGTGGCATCATAACTTCCCCAAAAGCTGGCTTACTTGCAACTGTGCTGCTACAAGAACACAAAACCGTAGTGGAGATAACCCGAGTGTAACATTAACTGAGTCCTATCACACGATCACCATCACTGCACAAGTGACAGCATCTTAACTAAGAGCAGCTCCTGAAGGCAGGTGCTGCATACTCATGGCTGTACTGTGTTTTCTTTTAAAGTAGTAAATTGTCTAAAAAATTGCAGGATGGGAAGTCCACACTGCCTTGTGAATTAGGGTCATATTCAGTTAACAGCTCTAACTATAGAGAGGAAAGAAGCGAATTATGTTAATGAATTTTTCCCTTCTCTTTCATTTCAGTTTGTCATACCAGAGGAAAACGAAAGTTCCATTGTTAGTCCAGAACTAACAGAGGCAGAGTCCAACAGCACAGGGAAGTGCCTGGGCACAGTTCTGCAAGCTCTGCGCACCCGTGCTGCACGCTCCACACTGGACCTGCGCATGCGGCACCGGAACCGCAGTTGCACCCACCGCTGGTGCAAGAGCGGCCACTTGCCACGATGCTTCCTCAGAGGTCCTGTAGGAAAACTGCTGTTATTTAGGCTATCCAGAGCTCACCTGCCTACCCAGTCCCACAAGAACCATTTGAGTTTAACAGGTAAGCACCAAAGTATCTCTCCTTGAACTAATTATCTTAATAAGAAGAGATATTGACGGTTCCTGCTCTCCACTCCATGCTCCAAAATGCCTCTTGAAAAATGCGGAGAAGGAAAAACATGATGCAACAGCAATTTGCAAAGCCATTTACACATCCCCCATTCATCCTGAGATGCAGAGGGATAGTCTGCCCCTCACCATAAGCAGGCCCATTCAAAACCAAGCAGTAAACATCCTGGAACAAGACAATGATCTCTCTCGCAGAGTAATTTGGAAAGGGATATAAGCAGTTCAAATAGGGGTCCATGATAACAAGGAAAAGCTGGCAATAATTTTCAGAGTTATTTCAGCAAGTATAGTTGAACAGAAAAGGATTCTTTTCAAGCATTGCATTTTTTTTTCGAGCTAACATTTACACGAGGGAAGCTGAAAGGAGCTGTCTCCCTTTATGCATGTTCTGGAAGTACTGCGTATTAAAAGATCTGTCAGCGAAGACATGGATGCTGGCACTGAACACTGCATTTAAAGAGGGAAAATTGCTGAAGCAGCTCTTTTACATTTAAAAAGAAGCAAATACATTACCAAGTGCAGGAATATTGCAGGAAGAAATAAGAGCATTCTGCAGGTAGGAAACGAGGTGGGTCATTTTAGGCCTTTGGAGCATCTCTGCCTCTATTTCCACACTTAAATATACCTTGCTGAGGTGACAGTTCTAAAGCACCCTCAGAGAAGCCTCCAAAATTACAGTGGACCCACTAATGCAAACCCACCATCATAGCCCAAACATTGCCTGCAGCACTATTTAACTATTTACTGGGGAATTCCTGCTTCATTTCCAGAAATGGAGACAACGCTCAGCAACAGCTCTGCTGCTACCAGGCTTCAAACTTCACTCTGGGAAAACTGTGGAGAAAAAGTAATCAAGGTAGGATGGACTAGGGGAGAAATATCCAATGAAAAAATAAAAAGGAACTGAGGCAAAATTTCTACTACTGCAAGATGGTCTCCAGGAAACTTTCCTGGCAATGGAAAATGTTTCAATACAATCAGAGGATTTAAAAGAAATGTTTATGAGCTGAGGTAAGGTACAGTATCACGGAGGCAAAAGAGCAGAAAGAGGACTAATTGGCCATTTCCATCTTCCAGCACCATGCTTCTGTGCATATTCAAATAAAGTAATTACTTCCCAGGATGCCACCTCAGCATTTCAGATAGCTGGGAACGATATTAAGCTCTGCATACATTAATAGAGCTGATGTAGCAGCAGATACGATATGTGTACGAAGGTGCATGCACACACACACATTATATAGGCATGTACTCCACTGGGCAGAAAGAGCAGCCTGCTTCATTTTTATCTCTTCTTCCAGAAAAGAAGATGCAATTTCAGCGCAGCATGGGGATATGTCATACATAACATCAACAAGGTGTCTAGTCTCATCGAGAGTCTCCTTCTCAGGGAAAGGTATGATTAAGAGTTCATCAGAAGTGCAAGTTATACATTGCCTGAGGAGGAGGAGAGGAGAGGAAGGATAAAGTCACCTTAAACTGACTCCCTCAGCATCCAGCATAACGGCGTTACTGCCTTTGGAAGCTGCACCTTTTCATCTGTCAACATGACCTCCTCTTCAAGAAGGAGGGGCATAGTCAGTTCCCCATCACATTGTTTTTAATGCATGAAGTTTGTATTTTATGCTTAAGTACTGCCTTAGCGAGTTTTTTTGTAGGCCTCTGCTGACTGCAGGAAGGAAACAACCTTTCATACAAATCTTTAGGATCTCGTGATGCCATATTCCCGCCGGGGGAATAACTACATCACCAAAGAGCACTGTCTCTGCTGTTTGCTGTGGAAGTCAAGGCAAGTTAAGAAGCTCTTTTCACCTGCTGTCAAATCTCACGCTGAGCACTCTCAAATGCAGAGCAGGGAACCAGCGAGATGTCCTGGCCTCACCAGGACATATGATCAAACCCTAGATTTTCAGTCTGCTGAGAAAGAAACACAGTACCAGAACCTTCGATAAATAAATACCTCTAATTCCCTTGATTTCATTGTGGCTCAGACTCTTGCCTTCTCTGTGCACAATGCTGATGTCATTAGACAGACCAAATCAAAGAAGTTAGAAACATCATCGCATTCCCAGACTGCATAAATATGCAACCTTATTAATCATTTCAAATGCTGGAAATATATTTGTTAATGAAACCATTTGGAGGGTGCGAGAAGCAGATGTTTGTAAGGAAACAGCAGACCAGCAGAATCACTTACTGCAAGTGTCCTCCAAGCACAACAGCAGTGGGGACAGCTCGCATCAGCCCTACCCTCTCTCGGTAGGCATCAATGAAATCAGTAGGAATAATTGTTGGGGCCCTTTGGAGTCACAGAAATATCTAGTTGAGCAAGAGGGCTAACAAATAATTTATTATATATATATATATTTATTATATATACATGTATTATATATACACGTGTTATATATACACGCACACACATGCATGCACATACATACACACATACATTCATATCCATCCTCTAGACAGACTTAAAACCAAAATGACAGGATCAAGATTTATTATAAAGCATAATAAATTCAGTTTGGAAATCTCAGGGAAAATTATATTCTGCTCCTCCCACCAGAAAATCCATCCAGTAAATGCTCAGATAAAAAGCTATGCACACTTCTGCTGAGATGGAGCTTCAGTGGAAATCAAAATGCATTCCCTGCCAATGTGCCGTGTTTCTTGCAAGAAAAATTAACACACAGCTATGGGCTGTGGAGATTTATCAGCAAGAGATCATAGCAACACTTAAGCTTAACTACAACTGCTGGTGTATGAAAGGGCACATTTGAATCTCAGGCTTCTTCTGACATCAATTCAAGTTTAGCTGCCTGATACAAACAGGCAGCGGAAGTTTATTTATACTCATACTCCCTTAGGCCTGGAGCAAATATTAGTCCCTTAGCACGACAAGCAGTGAGCATGCAGATAACACTGTGCTGCACCCTTGGCAGAGGGGCTATAAAAACATAAATGCCTCAGGAAAGTGCACTATAATCTTTAATGTTAAATGTAAAAAGACAAGTACGACTGGCTGAGCAAATCTATTGAAAGCTTCTTCCTAGTCTCCTTAATCATCCCTTTTCTTCCCTTCCTACAAATTTCACCCATTGTTATTCGTTCTTTCTGGCTCCCAGGCTTTCATTTTTAAATTCCTTCTCTCTTTATTTGCCGTTTGCTCTAGCTCTCTTGCCATGGTGCTCCAGATTAGCTAGAGCTGATTGCTGA